CATTTTCCTTACCACTTTGGTATACATTCACTATCTTGCTGCTTTATCATCTTTCTAGTTTTTTTTTTGCAACACCCTCTCAAACCACAGCATGAGTTAGCAGGGAGCTCTATATATAGCTGTGATTTAATCCTTACAAAATTTTCTCATTGTTACAGATACTGAAGGTGACAATTTGCGTGATGATTTGCCTGAAACATTTGAGAATGGGTAAGAAGGTTTCTTAATCTACTATGATCAAGTGTGTACTCTACATCTCAATGCCTAGTGAGCACAAATTGTGATTTGATGTAAATGTGTAATTTTGTTCTTCTGTAGGCAAGCCATGATAGCTGCTGTTCCAAGCTATGAAGAACCATATATTAAAGTGCCCAAAGTTTTGAACAAGGAGTAACAATGTTTTGGTAACTTGTTTTTCACTTTCTTATTCTCTAGTTAAGTGCGTTGCGAAGTTTCCTTATGTAATAGCCCTTTCCATTTTTAGTTTTCTTAGGTTTTTTTTTTTTTGGATGTGTTTCCTTAGCAGTTGGCATTCATTTTGCAATGTGGTGTTTTCTAGAAATTAAGGGATGGCCTCATTTATATATTTAGTTGCAAATTATCACTTTGGTGATGACTTCATTATACATCTATATGTGATTTGCAATTTGTGACTTCCAGGGTATTATCATGTCCTGAAATGTTATTTGACACTACTTCAACATGTTTTCGTAGTGTAGAAATGAGTTTACTTTGTTTATTACTTTTTCTAAGCGGATTTATTTTTCATAGGACTGGTGATCTGGAGAAGCTGATTTTGCTAGAAACATGTCTGAAGCATATTTCTTCTACAATAAATTTAAAGCAACATTTATGTAAGCTCACAGAGCTGATAGCCCTATGCTCACCACTTCTGTAATTATTCCATTCAAGTTATATTCTTGCAGAAGGTGTATTAGGGCATATATGCAATGCTTAAATTTCAACTTAGAAAATTGAATTTCGTTTATACTGCTTGGAACCCAAATTTTCTTCACCCCCGTCGATGATAGGTATATTGTATGATGACTCTTGATTTATCTGCAAATAGTTGGTAATGGGTCACTGATTTAACTTCGTTTCCCATCCTGGCTGACTCTGCTATCCATGTAGGAATGAAACAAATAGGTGGCACGAGGCGGGATTCATTTGGAGTTTGAAGCAAGAGAATGCTGTGGCATTATCATGTCACATGTGGAGTTGGAACTATTTAGTGTTTTTTGTGATGTTTGAGAGCAAATATGCAGATTCATGCACAATATGTAACTATGAAGTGGGTTGTGCCCATAGTAAACATTCTTAAACATTGATCGAAATTGAACTATGAGGATTTAAGTGCGTCGTGGTGGATTAGGTTGGCATTATCATGCAAGGAACGTTCCAGACTCTGATCTTATTAAAACCAACATCAAACAAGGATGTCTGCATATATAACACTTGCCAACAATGTTTTGATTAATTTTTTAGAATGTTTTAAAATAAATGTTTAATTTATTCTCTATTTTCATTCCGTTTATAAAATATTTTTGAAACTTTTTTCCAGAGCTAATTGAAATTATGCACTGAAATGAGATTTCAATCTTTTAGGATACAATACACTTGCCAAGGATTATTATATTATATTTTAAGAACCTAATTGTAAAAGTAGACTAAAAATTATTTAATTGAATGCTTAAAATGATCTAAAATTTAATAATTAAAAAATTATAAATATGTCATATATTTCACAACCTTACCCAAATTATGAGCCGAACATTACCCTCAATTGGGTAAAGTCGATTAAGAAATTGATCTTCTGGCTCAAAAGATGGAATACAATATTTTCTACCCGAGTTGACTCAGATGAATGAATAGCCTATATGAAAGTTTACAATTCTAGGCCTCCTAGAGCGGCTTAAAATTATTTGTAAGCAAAAGGCAAAAAATATAAATGCATCAACCTCTATAAGTTGTACATCACCTCAAAAGCATCCATATGGTGTAAAGTAACATGAAAAGTCTATTACAGAGAATTTTTATTTTCCCAAATGCCAAGCAAGAGAAAATTGGGGCAAAGAATACAACAAAATTAGATGGATTTCTGTATCATGGGCACATCCCGCTTCATAGTAACATGGGAGGGATAAACAATTAGCAGGGAAAAAAAAAAAAAAAAAAAAAGACGGCCCAATTCACGAGGCTCTTGTCACGACACAGATTTAAAAGAAAGCCTCTCACTCCATCATTTCTTTGTTGTTCCCCTTCACTTTATCTACTTCTGCGTTGATCATTCACCTACTCATTGAAAAAGATAGCAAAAAGAGGAACATATGAAAACGAAACGGGAAAAAGGGTTACTCTGGATCCTTGAAGATGTCTGCTTGACAAATATCATGATTGCCAGAATAGTTCAAAGTCTTTACTATACAACGACCGATCTTGAATCTCCAAATTTGCAACATGCCAATTGATGAACCGGGACTGGATACATTTACAGAAAACCAGCGCTAGGGGAAAAATCCACCATTCACTCTCATCCCTGGAGCCACAGCAATCACAGGATAACAAGACAAGACCATTAGTTTGCAGCAACAAAATTCTTAAAATCCCTGAATAGACAAATTTTGATGTGAGCTCTCACATGTTCCATGGTTCAAAGGCTGTAAGTTTTGTACTTGACTGGTTACTGTAGTGGATGTACCCGCAAATGAATGCAACAACCTGATTGAGATTACCGTATTATACAAAACTCAATTTATGTAAAGATAAATAAAATAAAATAGTACAATAAAATAGCAATGTACTATTTCCATCATTCTGCTAATCCACAAAAAGTCTTAAGATTTCAACTGGTTACGAATTTGATTGCAGATGAAAATATGACATAAAAAAAGGGGTCAATATCCAGCTTGTTCCCCATCCCTGAGGGTTGCTGGGAGGGGAGGACCGAGCACGGTCCTAAACATTGCCAATATCTAGACAAAGTGGCTACCCACAAATTCAAACCACAACCTGAAGGCTGTGAGCCCGGGCATTTTACACTTACCCACTGAAATAAGCAATGACCCAAATATATGACTAGGAAAAATAAGAGAATAATTATTCCAGAAGTCAAAACTTGAACTGCAAAATATTGAAATGTAAACTCTTTGTCAATGTTGCCCTACCAGAAAATGGTAGGATATCATCAAACGTCATCATGGAAAGGAAGAGAGTAATGTAGATGAAAACATCAGGGTTGTAGCAACTTACAACATTAACCACAGACGTTATATTCCACAAAGCATAAACACGTGCAAGCCCAGCAGAACGCCTAGGTCCATGACTGAATAGAGCACTAATTCCAGCAGGGAATGGAAGCAAAATACCAAGTGGTAAAATAAACAAAACCAGAAAGACGTCTGCTAATGAAATTGAATACAAGTGGAGCAAAATAAGCAAAACTAAGCTAAAATCTCCTAAAAGCAGCATTGAGATGACCAAACCAACAAGATCCTGCAGCAAAAGATGAAGATATGTTCAGGAAGAGGGAGTAGCATCTCAGAAAACCTATAATAGCTTCAACTGAAAATGTGTGCCTTTATATGCCTTCAGCCCCCCCCCCCAAAAAAAAAAAACACACACACGAGAGAGAGAGAGAGAGAGAGTAGTAACCTGGTGGCCAATTGGTTTAGTGTTATGAATTAGAAAAGAGAGGAAAAAACATCCCTCTCTTCTCCTCAAGCATTTTTAAGCTGTTAAGATCTAAAATCCCACCAGAAACTGTCTGCCTTGTACTAATTTCAGTGTTTCTATGAGTGTTATTTAAGAGAATCTCTACCCTTGGGAGACCCGAATAATTTTCCTTCGAATTACTGCCAGCACTGCATGACAAAAAAAAGTAAAAGAGAAAAAAAATTGGTTAAGAGCGAGGACAGAAAAATAAGTAAATGTACATAAAAGCGCTTGAATGCACCCGCACACGCACTTCCCACGAGTGCGCATACACGCATATACAACACACACACACACATATATGTATAGAGAGAGAGAGAGCCCAAAAACAAAACACAAGAATAAAGTCAAGTATTCCAGCTGCAAATGGGTGCATATGCACAGAGCCTGATTGTGTGAACATTGTAAAGATCACACCAGACCAAATTGGGATTACATTTTACCTATATCTGTTCTCTCTTTTTAACAATTATTTAGCATCTACTCAAATCCTGCCTGCATACCACACAAGCAATAAGTTGGTGTTATCTCATTATGCATGCCATCTGATTTCACTTGTCAATCAGTGATTCCCTCTATTGTATCACCATACACCACATGCTAGATATAACAGTAGTTCCCTTGAAGGCTAATGCTACATAATAGGACAATAAAACATTACTTCTCTTGTTGGCAACTGCCAACAAGTGTCTTTGGAGCGAGACTCTCACATGTGCCTAATTGCAAAGAAATCTTTTTTTTTTTTCCGACCTGAGAGAAACCATTTTGGGGACCGATAAAGCAGGTTTATGAAGAAACCCGACATTGAGGTAAAGTTACCATCAAGATGAAAAAAGATAATTGTAAATGACCACCTGCCACCGGCCACATGATACCCCTACTAGCTGAAGTAAAAAGTTGGGTGACAATCCATGTTTCTTCTATGCGAATCCCGTCTTAACATGTTCCACTCCTATCTTAAATGGGTTGGGCCAGGTTACACCAATAACATGTCCTCTACAGATCCACATTACAAGAACAATGAAGCACGGATCAAGAACATATTTCCTTTTTCTTTTTATTGCCGACGCTTCACTATGCATTTTCGCATATAAATTAATGCAAGTACTATATACCTGTAAGAATGCCCGTAGACATAATATTACCGTGAATGTTGCTGTCCTTGAGCTGCTCCAACAATAGTTCCGAAAGATCTACACCCAGTTTCTTCTTCAACAGCATATACCAAAAGTCCATACTGGCAATAACCACCACTTGTAGCTTGAAACCACGCTATATCAACGTGTACACCATAGACCCTCAAAGCAGGATTTGCAAGAGTTTCCAGCCATCTAATGACAGGCTGAAACATTACTCTGAGGCAACCCCGACGTACCAAGCGCAACTGTGCATTCAAACCAGCTACAAACCTATACCACGTTGTAGGTGGGATAAACTGAAATGAGGTGCACCAATCGATTACATTGTGTAGCAGCTCATGTAAAAGAATGGGTGTATTAACATTCCGATAAACTAAATGATAAGTTCCTCAGCCTGTGAGTTACAAACCTGACTCATAAGACTAGCTAAAATATTGTCATTGTTAAGTGAGAAAGGAGCCATGTAACTTCCATCACCTCCAAACACTAAAGACAATGGAAATCTTTCATGAATACGAGGAGGAAGATCATCTCTCTTTTCATTGCCACCAAGAAAAAAGTCCACATATGCTAGCAATAGATCAGATGTTGCAGCCACCTATGGTAATACAGATCAAAAAAGACCAGCTTGAGAAGTTTCCAGATTTCCTTGGGAAAACATTATGCTTTGCATATATGCAGACACTAACAAACGCGTAGTAAAAAACATGGAAACACTGGACTGTGCTTTACTATTATAGATGGCATAGTTAAACGAAAAGCACTTGTACAGCAACAAAAAATGTTCCAGCAATATTGAAATTTTCAACCAGGTGGAGAAGTCTAAAATAGGGAATCAGATGCAACACAAAAGCAAAGGGTTGGTCTACACTATATATTGCTTTGCAACAGATCCACGTTAACCCGTTTGGGGGCTAGTGCCCCCACTGACTTTTGAATAACATGTAAATATAATGTGTTACAAAGATCATAACTCTGTTAAAATTAATACATTGGCCCCTTAATATTTTGAGCATTGGCAAAATAGCCCATTTCTTTATCTTTTCAGTAAGTTATATATTATTTTTTTTCTTTTTTCTTTTTTGGATTGCAGAAAGTTAGCAGTTTGCTGCCCCAAACCCAGCAAAACAAATCTTTACTTATGGATTGCATAGGATAGATGTGAAATGCTACGATTCATAAATAACCAATGATAATACTTCTATTCTACTTCATACATGGGCCTTACTTTTTAAATACATTTGTATAGTTAACCTTAACTCTCTTTTTTTTTTTTTGGCAAGTTAGAGGCTCATACCCTAGGAATACACCATTAGATGCAAATGGTAAAGTGTACTAACACCACTGTATTTTTGATCTTCCGAAAAATTAATTTCTCAACAAAATAAATAGTATCGTGATGAACTCTTTAACTGTGTTCATCGAAGGAATATTACTAAGAAACTTAGCATATAATTAATCAAGCATAAACCATTTTTTTGAAAGAATGTCATAACCCACTACAATATATTGTGATTGAGTTGACATGTATTAAAAAAAAATTGTGTTTTTTGGTTCATATATTGTTGAGGGCAAATGGTAATGATTTTATGTTTAGTTTAGTAATTTTGCCTGAGATATTAATATACTTTTTATGTTTGAACTACGTCAATATGTCTACGTCGGTGAATTTTTTTATTCATATTTTGACCCCTCCTCCGAGATACAATCCTAGCTCCGCCCCTACCCAAAGCACCAAGACAACAACGAAGTGACAGTCCTCATACGACAAAAATTGCTCAAGTCTCTGTGTGTTGCTTTCTTTCTCCTTTTACTTTTCATTTCTTTCTCTTCTATTAATTTATATTTAGTTCTCTTAGGGGATGTGTGCTGAACCGCATGCCAAAATCATTTAATAAATGGGAAAAAACTTGATTATAAAGTAGCACTGAAATAGAAGTTGAATTGTTAGGGTGTTGAAGAATAAGAGATTAAAAAAAGTGTGTATCGTATTAAGTAAACAACTACACCAAAATATATATAGTTATACAGTGCACAATATTAAATTACACTTACTCTAGTGTTAATGCATAATATAACACTTCCACTGAAATTGGTGCAAAGATATCTCTCATACCCAACTTACAAACAATGGGGTGAAAAACCTTACTACTAAGCCTCTTTGTGAAGATATCAACCAATTGATTCTCTGATTTCACAAAAGACATGCAAATCAAATCCTTGTTTAATTTCTCTTTAATAAAGGATTGGTGTTTTGTTCTATTATGTTGAACTGGATTGTGGGCGCTGTTGATAGTAGCCTTGTTGTCCCAGTATAACTTCATAGATCCATCATTAGAAAACCTCATCTCTCTCAGCAATATGCAGAGCCACAAAAGCTCACAAACCCCATGGGTCATAACTCTATATTCAATCTCCGCACTAGACCTGACAACCACTACTTGTTTCTTACTTCGCCATATAACCAAATTAACTCCAGTCAAGGTACAATAGCCCGAAGTTGATCTTCTAACATCCACTGAACCTGCACAGTCTGCATCACTAAATGCTTTGAGTTTCAAATTCTTTAAACAACTGAGTCTTCAATTTGGTGACTTCATTCTCATCATTTCTAGTTTTCACTATGTCATTCAAAAATACAATTAAGACGGTGATCTTGTCATCCACCTGTCTGATGAAAATGGTATGATCAGTCTTACTCTGTTTATATCCAAACTTCAATATAGCTTTAAGGAACATATCAAAACCAAGTTTGAGGGATTGCTTCAATCCATGAAGAGACTTCTTCAATTTACACACCTTCTCCTCAGTTATTCGAGATGAAAAAACCAGGAGGAATCTACATGTACACATCCTCCTCCAAATTTTCATGAAGAATAACATTCTTCACATCCAATTGTTGCAAAGCCCACCCCAAATTACTTGCACCGGAGATAAGTACACGTATGGAGTTCGTTTTTACCATAGGAGCAATAGTCTCTTGATAATCAATACCACATGTCTACGTAAATTCCTTAACAACCAGCCTAACTTTATACCTCTTGACAGTCCCATTAGCATGTTGTTTGACAATAAAGTAAACACCCATCTACACCCTACGGTCCGTGCTTATGGAGGAATATGAATAAGATCCCATAAGTCATTATTTGACAAGGCTTGCACTTCCTCTATCATAACTTCTCTCCACTAAGGATCAATGAGAGCATTTTTCCAACCATGAGGTATAGATACAGAAGACAAGAGAGAAACAAATGCCCAATAGGATGGAAACAAAGAATCATAAGAAACTAAGTTAGAGATAGGATGCTGAGTACAAGTACGAACACTGTTTCTAACTACAATGGTCATCAACAACTGGATTATTCAAAACAGTAGTAACATTTGGAGATTCATTACCTGATAAATCCGTGGAAGATGAAATTGAAGTAGTGGAAGTCAACTAGTTTGGTGGCACATAGGTAATATGTACCTTCTAATGTCGAGCATAAGTCTTCAGATTATTCCTTGTGAAGATAATCACCATGTGAATCACCAATATTACTTTTTTTCTCTATAAGTTGTTGCTCCCCTTACCAACATCCCACTGAACAGGCAATTGAAGAAAAGATGGACGAAGACCTAGAAAGACACTCAATTGGTGACTTAAACTGAAGGACACTCAAGGATAGACGGTTAATAAGATAAACAACAGTGAGAACCGCATTTCCCCCAAAAAGATTGAGAAACATTCATAATGAACAACAATGAATGAGCAACCTCAAAAAGATGACGACTTCTCCTTTCAGTAACACCATTTTATTCAAGGATACTCACACAATAAGTCTGTATAGAATTCCATTCTCATTGGGGTAAGAACGAAAGTCTCCATCAATATACTCAGTTTCATTATCACTAAGAATTTTGACTTTGACATCAAATTTGGGTATGCAACATTTTATGAAAAGATCTAAAGAATGAGAAAACTTCACTTTTACTGCATAGTAGATAAACTCATGTAACATGAGAATAAAAATCGATAAAAGTAACAAACCAACGATAACCAAAAATAGACAAAACACTGGAAAGTCTCCACACATCAAAATGAATAATAACAAAATGAGTAGTGCTTCTATTATTACTAGGATAAGATGAACGTTTATGCTTGTCAAATTCACAAGCATCATAAACCAAAAATTGGCTACTAAACTGTTTTACAAGACAAGAAAAAGGATGTTCTAAAACACCAAATGAGGGATGCCTCGAATGTTTGTGCCATTGATGTAAGAACTGAAGAGCTTGACGGGTAGACTGAGAAGAAGTTTCACAGGTAGACTATTGTCTCGGAGAGCTTTAAGGGCTGAAATACCATTTGCCTGGAGAGCTTGACAGGTAAACTAAGAAGAAGCTTCAACATCCACAATGTACTCTACCACTGGCAATCGTTTTTCTCGACTCTAGTTCCTAAAATATACAATAACTAGGGAGGAAAGTTATTAAACAATTCAAGGATTTTGTACTACTACTAATAGACAATAAATTAGTAGAGAAATTGAGAACATAAAGAACAAAAAAGAGAGATAAAGAAGGTGAGCAATTAATTAAACCTTCCCCAAAAATAGAGGATAAGAATTCATTGGCCAACTTAACTTCATCCATACCAAAAAATGTAGAAGACGAAGAGAAAAGGCTAGAAGAACCTATCATGTGATCCGTAGCTCCATAATCTATTATCTAAGAAGAACATGAGGATGATGTATCAAATGCACTACTAGATATATACCTGTATGGGCAAAGTTGAAAAAAAGAGACGGGGGTAAAAACTGCAGTCGAGGAAACATCAAGTTGAATCATCAGACACCTAAGAGTCTGAATCTCATTGTGAGAGAAATTAAAAGGAGCAGACTGATGGTTCAAATCCCTCGACCACGTATAGGACGTCCAGTCAACTTTCACTAGAACTCTCTAGTATGTCTGATCTTCTTACATTTTAAGGTATCCTTAAGAATAGTGTCATTCATCTCAGTAGACTTAGGCAAGACTGAACCCAAGTCACGCTGAGGGATAATAACTAAAGCAGACTGTTCCAGATAAGGACCATAAACCATAGCAATCCTCCGACTCTCCTCCTGCTGAATATAGACATAAACCTCTAAAGAAAATGGAGTACGACCCAAAATTTGAACTCAAATCTAATCATATTCAATATTAAGGTCAACAAGAAAGTCATATACTCATTCTTCTCCACCATCTACTGAAATTTGATCACATTATTGGTACAATCTGCCTGAAAACTCTAATAGTAGTCAAACTCCAACCATAAAGTGGTCAACTTCGTACAATATACTACAAGTGTCTTATCTTTTTAATTAGTCTCCCTGACTTTCTTTCGCAGATCATATGCCTTAGCATCATTACCCCATTGAGAATACGTATGAGACGCAACAGTCCAAATCTTATGTGCCGTATCAAGTGGCCAAAAACCACGGCTTACAGATGGCTACATGGAGTTAAAAAACCAAGACATAATTAAAGCATTCTCAGATGTTCATCACACCATTGCATTAAGAAGGTACCAGACTCATTTGACTTCTTAGTCTCTTCAATCAAGCAACCGTCTAAAGATATCGCTTGGACGAATAATAGACACGCTCTCGACCATGCCAAGTAGTTGCTCTCATTCAATTTCTCCGGACTAATTTGGACAGAAGGGATATTTGCCTGAGCACCCAAACATCTTACCCCATATCCTCTTGTACTTCCTACAGTAGTAGTAGAGGTCACACTCCATTATGACATGTCCACGCAATGAGTTCAACACAAAGAGCAAGCAATCACGAGAAAACACAATCAAAAAAATTGTCTGAAACCAAAAAATGCCTCAACAGTCCCAAGAAGCTGCAATAGAGGCTATCAAAGCAAACTAAAGAATGGACGGAAACAAAGTCCCTTGGGTTATCATAGATCTTCCATAATCGATCCTCACTAAGACGTTTTGGTTTGGAAACAGACTTCAACTCTGGCGAAAAGCAGAACAGGGATCTTACAAGGTAGCCAATGGTCGAAATCTCCCAGAAAGCATTTCGAAACCCATTAAACCTCAAGCAAACTGCCTAGGTGTTGTAGATCTGACCAAATCGCACCCAACCATGTGAGATCCAAGGATCAAAATGTCGTGTCGACACGTCCGAAACGTCCGAAACGTTTCGGAATTTCAACACTCCGAAACGAAACAGTAGTTGAATCACAAAATTCCAGTGTTTCGGTCGAAACGGTACTGTTTCGGACCGTTTCGGTCGAAACGGCATTGTTTCGAACCGTTTCGACAAAACAGTGATATATTCGGTTCATTATGAATAATTACATTTAATACCCCATTATAATTACATTTAATACCCACTGTAATTACATTTAATACTCACTATAATTATATTTAATATCCCACTATAATTACATTTAATTCCCACTGCTCTTCTGTCTTTTATAATTTTTTTGTTATAAGAATAAATAATTACACTTAATACCCTACTATAATTATATTTAATACCCATTATAATTATATTTAATACATACTGTAATTATATTTAATACCTCACTGCTATGCAAGTTTTTTGCTTTTTTTTTTTGTTATAAGTATTAACAATTATATTTAATACCCTAATGTAATTATATTTAATACTTACTGTAATTACATTTAATACCCACTGCAATTACATTTAATTTTTAAGTATACATAAGTATCATTAATTTAATTTGATACCCTTCATTATTAGTATTATAATAAAATAGTATTATTAATTGGATTATATTACCGTAATAATATGATTTGGAGTAACTATTGTCATCATATTTATGTCACATATGGAGTTTCTCTAAGTAGCTACCCAGAGCCTACACCGATGTATGAGCCTGCTCGACACTCCACAGGGGAATGGATGTAACCATGTAAGTATGTACTCATTAGCATTTCATGTATATTATAAGACCTTAATATTATGTAAAAATATGTTTATTTCATAAAAATTAAGTGTTTGAAACTAATTTAAGTGACTTTCGCCTCAAGTCAAGCCTTTTTTTCCCTCAAATTTAAATTTATTCTTGTATAAATTGATGTTAACCTAATAAATATGTTGAATTAATAAATTATTTAGCATATCTTTATAAATTAATGGATTGCATTTGTGTTTCTATGCGTTTCCATATTTTTTCTGCGTTTCCATTGCGTTTCCGAAATGTTTCCGAAACGTTTCTATTTTTGAGTTGACCGAAACGGTACTTCGAAACGAAATTTTGATCCTTGGTGAGATCGAGCTAGAAAAAAATAGTCGCGAAGGGAGAAATTCGAAAATCTGAGGTTTGAAAGTCAAAATACAAAAAAAGCTTCAAAAAAATTCAAACCCCTTACAAATAATCTCAAAAAATCATCACAAATCTCAGTATTAAAAGTCGACCATCCCAGCAAAATGTTGCAAAATTTTGGCATTGTTCAAGCTGATGTCATCAATAGACAAAAACGAGGTAGCACCTTTTTTTTTTCCAGATCTGATAATTTTGAAGCTTCAAATTTAGGTCGTAGCTTTGATACCAAGTTGAATTATTAGGGTTTTGGAAAATAAGAGAGAAGAAGAGAGAGAGATTAAGCAAAAAGTGTATCGTATTAGGTTAAACAATTACACCAACATATATATAGTCATACAATGCAAAATACTGAACTACCTTTATTCTACTATTAATGCATAACATAACAATAGATTATGCAGCAGCTAATAATCTCCTAAACCTCCATAAATAAAGAGTAAAAATAATGCTACATAAGGAATACATGGTCCAGGACAGGGAAGGAAAATTGACTGGCCTTTCAAGCCCTACTAAGTGAAGGGAGTTGCGTAAAATCTATCGGCCAATGAACCTGAATTGCTAAATCACCGATTTTTCATATCTGAGATGGAATAAATCACCACCAAAACGAACATGCGATCATTGAGCTACAGACATTGAACTACTTGCAAGGCATGCAAAATATATTTGATTATGGAACCCCACAATTTCCCATACTTATATCAGAAACTAACCTTCAGCCCTTCGTAGAGAGCACGTGAGCGACAAGACCGTAAGCAAGAATGATCATACTCGGACCTCACGAATTCACGAAGTCGTTGTAACTTCGTTCTCTGGCGCCACTGTTGCCATGACCATGCAAGAGGATACGCAAGAATGCATAGAATACTGTACATTGATCCCTCCCACCACTGGTAAGCAGCTATAGCATTAATCTCGTCCACAAATCTGATGTATGGACCTTCATATCTGCCAGATTAATTTACAATTATTCTAAGAATTCTAACTGCAATTTATGAAGCATGCTTAACAAGGACAAAAATCAAAGGACTCTCACCTCCCCAAACACTGCCCCCTCCCCCAAAAAAAAAATAAAAAAAACACCAAAACAAAGGAAAAAAAATTATAGATTAAACAAGTGCCAAAGAAACAATCAACCAACAAACATTAAGAGGAAAACAAAAAGGGAAAATACTTACATAATTTCTTTCACTTGTTCTGGAGGTGTATGAAGAAGATGCCAAGGTTCACCGAATGTATTCGAACCCAAAAAATAAATTCTATGTACATGCCTCTGTGACTCCTCAACTCTGTTTGTCTCTAAAACCTGAAATTCGGATAGAAAGTCCATCATTCAATATTTTTCGATTACAAAAAGAAGCCAAAAGAGAAAGAACAACAAAAAAGATTTTGCTCTGATGATCTGACACTTAATAGAGTGAAGAAATGGGGTTATTCAAAGAGGCACCTCATTCAGTGACTCCAGGAAAGGAAATGAGTGATCAATTTGAGAGCTGTGCTGTGTAGGAGTGGGGCCCGGTAATTCATCTACACCAACAAACTTCATTCGTGCAACACTAAGTACCACTGCTAGCAAGATGAGGATACCCAAAAGAAGAAGACCAAACAACCAAGGCCCACCGAATGTGTACATCAACTCCTCGAGAGCCGTATAACAATGGGGCATGTGATATCTTTCCGAATTGCATTTGTAGGGACAAGGTGTTTCAGTAATGCCACCTGTTATAAGGACAAGGTGATGATTCCAAGATTAGTTTGGGATAATAGACAAACATCTTTCAAATAGACATCTCTTTATATAGCATTACAATAAACCAGAATACTATGGAGGTTGATTGGGTGATGAATTGCACATGGGACTACTAAATATAAAAGAATGCTTCATGGAAGACAAGCACGGTGGAGATCCACAGTGACTGCAACAACTCTGAGGACAAAGTCGCACAACACAGAAATTTTGTAGCTCGTATAACATATAAAACATCATGTGCCTCATTAAAGTGTGAATACCTCGGATGGTAGTGTAAACAGCACGATTGGGAAGCTCATCAGCTGGGCACGGAAAACAAAGCGCTCTATCAGATCCTGTTTCATTTTTATATGTGCCGGCTGGACATTCCTGTTCGAATGCAAACCATACAAAACATGTTTCACCCACAACTGATTATACCGGAAGCAGATTATGTAACACCAGTGCTTCAACAGTCCACAACGGACTAATTTTTGGGTCCGTAAAGAGTATAAAGTTAAAATAGGAAATCAATAAGTCAAATCTAAACACAATTAGTTATTGAAAAGAATCTAGGTTCCATAAATCCATATAAATCTTACATCACAAAAATCAGCCTAGATGTCATACGAATATCAATGGCCTTGGTTGCATCAAAAACCAAAATATACAATTTAGTCAAGTAAATTCAGTGTAAACTTAATATCTGTTCAATGGAAATCCTGGAACAATAAGTTGCATAGGTATTTTATCTCAGCAACGCTGCTCACAATTTTTTTTAGTAACTCAAAACAAATCATCGGGCAAAATTGTAAGTGTACCTCACAGAATGTTCCAAAAAGCCCTTTTGGACAAGCTTTTCCAGTCACCGTACCTCTTTCCCCAGCACCACCATAAGTTCCAGCCCCTCCACCCCTATGGTGACAGCAGAAAACCACCAATTGTTAAAAAAAAATTATAGCCAACACAAAAGCTAGAACTGGAGTACGGGCAAACAAAATACATTATGCATTGTGAAAAGTAAGATTTAGGTGTTGGTTTTTCCGAAAGAGCTCACTGAGAAAGGGCAGAAATGGTCTTTTGGAAAGCACTGGATATACTGGTCTCGTTATATAATTAAATCTGGCATTACTTGGAAAAGTGACTGAAGGATTTCCAGTTAGGATATTTGTTCTTTATTTGTTACGTCTTGTGATCATAAACATGCTTGTATTGGAATTGATCATAAACCATTTACAGACCTATTTATTAACAATATGAATTACCTGCCATTGACCTGCCATTGCATGTTGCATTTAATAGAAATAGTCATCCAATTGATAACATGTTTGTATTGGAATTGAAACTAAGACCACTAATAAATTTGAATGATTTTTATCTCTATTTCCCGTCATTCTTTGATGTTCTGAAATAGATTCATCAAAATTCTTCTTATCAACATATCCTTGTTCTCGATATCTTTGATTAGTTTGGAATTTACTCTTATAAACCATTGAAATACCTATGGTTTGATACATAATAAATTGTCCATCAATTTTTTCAGACAGACGAACCGATTTGATAATCAATACCCTTTTTTTCATCAATTTTGAAATTACACAAGTTAAAAAGATAAGCGTGTGCAAAAACCAAGTTTTTGAGCTTTATTTCCCTTTTTTTAACAATCTGATCCAAGGCTTGAGTTGAGTCTGACAAGAACAAAAAAAACACGAATCATAAGCCAAACAAACTAAAAATTTGGACAATGTGGTACGCATGCAAGTTCAGTCACATTGTTTCTCTTTCCCCATAACTTCAGGAAACAATGAAATAAACAACGACATATAGAAAATTATAAATTGTGCATTCCATAAAACTAACTAACAAAACAATTTTTTTTAGAAGAAACATTGATTCATTGAAAAGTCAAAAATTACAAAGGACAAATCATAGGTAGACAAGACATCCAAAAACTAAGATATGAAAACATAAAAGAAACAAGAAAACAAAAACTCAAAAAATCTCATGTATAGGCCATGCACTACATTCCACACGTTGCAGTCCAATTTGAAATAATGCATGAAATAGGGATATCTTTAGCCATGGAGGGCCTAAAAGGAAGCCAAAAAGTAAAGTTGTTCTCATAGTTCTTCAACCTCCTCATATTGTCATAAAAAAAATCCTTGCATTCCTTTCTAACCAAATCACCCAAACAAAAGCATTACAAGCACAACACCAAAGGGTTTTCCACTTCCTATTCCCACCCCTGCTCCAAACATCCATACATATCATCGAAAACATGTTTGCACGCCCAACAATGACCAACAAGTTTAAACAACTTATTCGAAAGAGAGAAAACAACAAGAGATAATCAATACATCACCTTTGCACATAACACACCACTCCGGTGAAAGACAAATCTTAGGTCTTCTTCTTTGAAGCATATCATAAGTCTTAAACTTATCATGAGCAATTATCCATAAACAAATTTGCACCTTAAGAGACACTCTAGATTTCCAAATCACCCTCGAAGGAGAAAACAACGGAATTGATGGATCATCAATTAAGCAGTCAAAAAAGGATTTACAAGAGATAATACCGGACGAATCAATAGTCCAAACTCTTTTGTCCAAAGAGCCTTGAGTCAAAGAAACATTATTAAGCAAAGACAAAATTTGTACCACCTCTTAACATTCCCTATCATTAAGACCTCTACAAAATCCAATATCCCAAGACAAGAACAAAGAATCATAATGAATTAATGACACAATTTTATACTCATGGAGCAAAGAAATACCTTTTTTTTACACTAATAAAACAAATTTCATACTCTAATATCTTTTTTTCCTTCACTTGACACAAAAGCATACTTACGTCAACAATGATGCGTCCAAATAGCTGTTACCCATTAATATCTATGTGTCCAGTTTTGAGGTATGAAGTGTATCGACATTTACAGAAGCTTTAATTTCCTTGGTTATTTCTTGTTCATTTGTTTGGTTTATATTCTTCATGTAGCATCCAGAATAAATGAGATTATGAAATTACGTCGACATTTCACATATTATGGGTAACATAGAAATCCACTCGCTTAGGTGAGTCCAACTAAACTTTTCTATCAGGCCAAAAAAAGTTCAATATTTCTATCCAGTAGAATTGTTAGGATCATATATTCATATCTTTATCACATACCCCGTTTTTACAACAAAAGACAAATCGTCTATCAGTGGTTGTGAATGACTGATTTTTTCAATCTTTTCGACCTTGGTTCCATAGGAGCAAGTCAAAAATATTGAGAAATATAACCATCTAATTTGATTTGTTCTCAACAGCCATGAGATGATCATCTTATGATAATCCTTTTGTAGACGGATACTTCTAAACACTCGTAGTCTTTAAAGGATGAGAACCAACACGTATTTTCCCGGTCTAGTTTCTTCATTTACCCCAACCAATTAATAGGTTGGTTTAGGTTCAATGGTACAGAGAAAGAGTAGCAAGGTAAGAGGATGGGACATGGATAGTTGTCTGGGTGATATATTCATATCTTTATCACGCCCCCTTCTTTTTTGGGAAGAAAATGAGGATTTGGACAAAACTGATGAAACGGAAGAGATTCGAGTGAATGGAAAGAAGAAAATAGGATGAACTTCACTTTCATTTACAGACACATCCATAACGTTTGTGAAATAAAAAAAGTTTACATTTAGTTAATTTCGTTACAAAAATTTTATAAACGTTACCTAGCTATGTATTAATTCGGTCCAGGTTCACACATCTTACACAATAAAATAGAGGTAATCAATTTTGCCCAGTTTTTCAACACACAATACTCTCATAACAGTACTGTTTCAATGTACCAAACAAACAATGTGATTCTGGGATTAAATAACTCATTTTTGGGTTCAAAAAATGCCCCCACATTTCATCACTTCTCCTCTGAATTGCTTTTAACAATTTCATTTCCTAATCTAACAACTGATATAACTGTTAAGGTCCTAATTGGCAAAAATATCCGGAGATGACTTAACCCAACCATGAACTATAATAAATTGAAAAAGCTAATCGTAATACAACATCCATGACATATGAAGAAACCAACAAACTAACCAATGAGCAAAAGGAGACAACAAATACTTCTAGAAAAATCTAGAAAAAAGATAAAGAGTCAGATTTTTTAGGTGAAACTTGGAGAAGAGAATAAGAGAAAGAAAAAAATATTATGTGCATCTTAGCGTGTTAGGTCACACAACTATAGACCAGCTTTAAACATAAACCATAATATAATGGTTAGATATGTACGAACCCAGTTTTTATGCTGCCCTGCACACTAGCTATTGGGATGGTATGCCTCTCCAGTAGGAATGTCTGACCAATGAAAGTGAATCCTTCCACCACCACCCCCGCCACAACCATTGGGACATCCATGACCACAACACTTGAAAGAGTGCCAGCTCACTAAGAACTAGAGCACTTAAAAACAAAAGAAATGTCCCACCAGATCCACCCCCAGGGCCTCCATTATGATCATCTATAATTATGTAATCATTCCTCAAACTTTCCCCCACATTGTCTCCATCAGCTCTAACTGAACCGTTAACAAGTAATCCTGACAGGGGATGCTGCCACGAACCCATTACTGCAAAATCAAAATAAGCACATCAACAAAGTTTGAAAACAGAACACACAAGTATCCAAGTATAACATGGGTTTGAAAACAATTACACCTCAATGGATGTGACAAGAAAATATTTTCATCACCAACCAAGCATGTCCATTTGAACAAGAGCATAA